CAGATGGGTGAACTTGATGCTGCTCATCTAGGGAAGTGGCTTCAGAAGTCAGGATCTAAGAAATAGCTAGCGAGGAAACGAAGACTCCTTATATTGACAAGAAGGTACAGTGGGAAGAGTAATTTTGATAACCCCCTTCTATGTGTCAGACGATCCTCTACAAAGAATTCTGAATTCACCAGGTAGTGGCATATATGCCTTTAATTCCAGCATGTGGGAGGCAGAGGCAGGCAGAACTCTCTGAAATTGAGGCCAGCCTGGTCTACAGAGCCAGGTCCAGGACAGCCAGGGTTGTTACACAGAGAAACCTTGTCATGGAAAACAAAAAACAAACAAATGGGAACCCCTCTTTACAGCTAAGGAACTAAACTTATGTTGCAAGTAGAGGGCTGCAGTGGATGAAGCTACTACCACCCCTGCCAACTTTATTTTAATTCCTGGGACCCACATGGTGGAAGGAGAGAACCAACTGCTACAAGTTATTGTATAACCACACCCACCTCACCCCCCCACAGGTACAGATACATGCACATGCCCAAGATAAATGAATAAAACATAATGAAAATTTAAGTTTCAAGTCACTTGCTGAAAGCTACAACCACATAAAAAGTAAGGGAATCATTGTGCCCTAGATGGTGATTTCAAAGCCTGTGCCCTTCCTACTGCTTGTATTTCTTACAATATGCAAGTTTCATTTGGTCATAGCTGTCCTGGAGACTGAAAAACCAATCCTACATACCCAGCATCATTCATGTTAGTCACGATGACCGTTGGTAGTGACACCAGCTTCATTTATACTATGGTTTGGATCTTGAATGCCCCTCAGACCCCATGTATTAAAGGTTCAGCCTACATCTTTGCTTTCTTGGGAGGTGGTAAACCCTTAAGATTTGGGACCTGCTGGGAGTTTTACTGTATTGGGAAAATGCCCTTGAGGGAAATTTTGACCTTGGTCTCTTCTTTCTCAGATTTCTAGTCTATGTGAGGTAGGCAGGCACACGGGGCATTTTAAAAATATAATTTAAAAAATTTAAATTAGAAACAAGCTTGTTTTACATATCATTCCCAGTTCCAGTACCCTCTCATCTTCCTCTGTTCCCCCCACCAACTCCTATCCCATCCTCTTTCTGCTCCCCAGGGAGGGTGAGGCCTTATATGAGGAGTCTTCAAAGTCTGTCATATCATTTGGAGCAGGGCCCAGGCACTCCCCCATCTGTCTAGGCTGAGGGAGTATGCCTCTATGTGGAATGGGTTCCCAAAGTCCATTTGTATACTAGGGATAAATACTGATCCACTATCAGAAGCCCCATAGCTCATGTAGTCCATGAGCTCCCCCCTTGTTCAGGTCAGCAGTTTCTATGGGTTTCTCCAGCCTGGTCTTTACCCCTTTGCTCATCACTCCTCTCTGTCTGCAACTGGATTCCAAGAGTTTGGTTCAGTGTTTAGCTGTGGGTGTCTGCTTCTGCTTCCATTAGCTACTGGATGAAGGCTCTAGGATGGCATATAAGGTAGTCATTAATCTCATCATCAGGGAATGGCATTTAAGGAAGACTCTCCACTATTGCTTAGATTGTTAGTTGGAGTCATCCTTGTAGAACTCTGGACATTTCCCTCGTGCCAGATCTTTCTTAAAACCTATAATGGCTCCCTCTGTTATGGTATCTCTTTTCTTGCTCTCCTCTATTCTTTCCTTGACTCAATCTTCCTGCTCCATCATGTCCACCTCTGTCTGCCTCTTCTCCTTAACTCCCTCCCCCATGCCACCAATTTGCTTGGGGAGATCTTGTTCTTTTTCCCCTTCTTCAGGGGAACATGTATGTCTTTCTGGGGGTCTTCCTTGTTTCCTAGCTTCTCTGGAGGTGTGGATTGTAGGCTGGTAATCCTTTGCTCTATGTCTAAAAGCTATATATGAGTGCATACATTCTGTGTTTGTCTTTTACACAGGACATTTTTTATTTTTATTTTTTTTATTTAATTTTATATAACAAAGTCCAATTAAATGAAAACAAACATTTATACACAATATTTGGGAATTTGGGCGTCGTTCTTTCCAAACTACTTCCTGCTGGTAAGGGGCGCTGTCTTGGGGGATTCGAAGAAGATTCAGATATCCTAGCTGTAGTCTGTAGGGCTGTTTTGTCCAGCTGTTTGGAATGTAGGATCAGCTTGTACTCTGTTTCAGGTGGTCTGGTGTGATCAAACCACATTAGTCTGGAAGGAATCCACAGCTTTTCATTTTCTGTGGAAACAAAAATAGAAATCCTTTTCCCCAGTAACTTGTTCTTCAACTTAAATTTTGGAGTCAAAGCGTTTTTTTTAAAATTTATTATTTTACATGTCGATCCCAGTTCCCTCTCCCTCCCTCCCTCCCCCTCCCCCTCCAGCCCTCCCTCCCTCCTTCCCTCCCTTTTGCCCTCTCTACCCTCTCCCATGCACTCTAAACACCCTCCCCTCCCAACCCCCCACCACAATACCATATGTAGGGGAATGCCATCCAGTTGGGGTCATGTAGATCTGACAGGTCTACACAGGACATTTTTTAAAATATAAAATTGTAAAAGACAACAGAACAAAAAAAAAATGCTCTCTACATATATTTCAATTTTCTCCAGGCCAAGTGAATAAGACAACCTTCATGAAGAGATGTTCAGTCTTTATCAGTTCCTGTGTACACCTGTTCACAGAAGACACAAGGGAGGACTGCTAGAGAAGAGGAGATACGAGAGTCCAACTTGGACCTTTTGAATTGAGACAAAACATTTTGCAAACCCTATGCTTTATCTTCTGGCTTTTGCTTATTTGGAAGTCCTGCCATTTACTGTTAGATGATACTAATTTTAATACTTGAAATGAGTATGAAGACACAAAAACATGTGGGTCAGAAAATGCTGGTAATTAATACTCATATCGGGAGATGAGTAAGGTAAATGCAGCTTCTTCATCTTCAAAGGACAATTCACAAATGGAAATGTTATTAAAGAAACAGAGACAACTGAGATGTGGACATCTGTAGAAGACAGAAGTTAGATGTAACAGAACACTAGAAAAATAACAACCTAAAATCGGTTATATTTCTGGGGACAAAATAAAAATATTTTCTATGTAACAACACAGTTGTGATCTATCACTTGCTATTTTGGATGTAGTTCTCATCGTCTCACTAGAGGGCGGTGTTGCTTCTAAAACCAGAGCTCGCTGTTCATCTCCAGGACATTCAAGAAAAGGTGCAGTCAAGTCTTCTCAGTCTCCCCCAGAAGATGATAAATGTCAAATATGAATCTTTCCAAGAGCCCCATCCAGTTCTGACTGTTTGTAGCCCCAGGCGAGCTAGATAAAAAGTGAAGAGATGCGCGGAAGAAGCTGGGTAGCAGAGCTAATGTCAGTGTCTGCACTTACTAGTCTTAGGCAAGGCTCATTTTTTATTTCTGTTAAATAAAAAGCTGTCCTAGATGACACCCAAGACTCCAGTGCATTCTTAAAATGCTACGATCATAGTAAATTTCCGGGTCTGCAGGGCTGAAGAATTCCTTGGTGTTCTTGGCAGAGTTAAGGAAAAACAAAAACCTTGAATTATATAATAATTAGTAATGGAAATACATTTAATGCTCTAAGCGAGGTTCAGTACAGACATCAATGTCACCATTTTTTTTTTTAAATAAAAATGCTGTCTTCCATCTCTCAGAGACCTTAGAGCCATTGTCTGCATTTGCTCTTGGTGTGGTTAATTCTATTGAATCCCTGCTCCACTTGGTGGATGGAGCAGGGATTAGAATTAGATGTAGAAAGTAGGCGAAACCCTTGTGATATAGGAACGTTTTGGGTAGAGACTAAACATGCCAATGATCTTGTAGTTGGTGGTTTTCCTCCTACTGGTGTTTCCTTAGGTGTCCCCAGGGTTTTGGCTGTTCTGTTTCCTCTTACCCCACTACCGCTTTCATCCAACTCCTTGTCACATTTTCGCAGATTGCAGAGTGAAGGTAGACTCCGCTCACAGAACCTGAAGCTAATTGTGGAACTCCAGGGTTCTAGTAAACCCTAGTTTATCTCCGCATGAACTTGACTTCTAAGGATTGGCAGGAGAGCCTGTATTTAAGCCCTGGCCGGTGCCAAGTGTTACCACCACACCAAACGCTCTGACATTCTCACTCAACACCCGCTTTCTTCCAGATTTGCTGTTTTGCAGAGTATTTCCTCTGGCTTCTCCCTACCTCCACCCCCCAACCTCACCCCCACCCCCCAACCTCATTTTTGGTGCACCTTCAGGCTGCTTTAACATTTTTAAACTTCCTAAAATGTACTCGGAGTCGGGTGCGCACATTGGCGCGCGCACCCTCGCCTAGTACGGTGCGGGTGAGCGGGGCCGGGCGGGCTCGGGGCTCCAGAACACATTCCATTCTTCGCGCTCGGGCACACCCCTCCGCAGTGAGGATTGGTGGAGCCGAACTCCCCCGGCGAGCCTCGGCTCCTGAGAGGTCCAGGCGCCTGCCAATCCCCACGGGCTGTCAAAACAAGTCTTCCCTCCGTGTCACAGGCGAGCGGAGTGGAGGCCGCCACCGCACTTCCTGGGGCCGCCGCGCCGCGGTTGGCGGGCAGGTGGCGGGTGGCCCGTCCGCAGTCACCGCTCCAGCGGCGGCGCGCGTCCCGGCTCCGGAGGCTCCTGGCCAGGCGCTCGCCGCCTTTTGTCTGCACTGAGCGGGCGTTTGCATCACGTCTCCTCCGGTACCTCCCGCTGCTTTTCGCCTGCTTCTCCCTCCCGCTCGCTCGCTCACATCTTCTCCCCGCCCCCGCCGCCGGCCCGCGCCGGCCCGCTGACCTCCTGGACCACAGCCCGAGGACGCCTCTGCCTCGGCGATGTCTCCTCTCTACAAAGTTGCGGCCGCCGCTGCAGCCGCCTTCGGGCGCTGAGACAAAGTCCAGCGGGGCTTCCTCCCGGTGCCCGAGCGCACCCGTGCCAGGGGCTGGACACTGGTGTCGGTCGTGCTGTCTCTCCGGGAGTCCCCGAAGCGTGCTTGGCCATGGCTGAGGGCGCGGCTGGCAGGGAGGGTTCGGCGCCTCTCGACGCTGCAGGAGGCGAAGACGACCCCAGAGTCTCAGACTCTGCCTCCGGAGACGCTGCACCCGCGGCCTCGGGTGGCCGGATGAGGGACCGTCGCAGTGGGGTCGCACTGCCTGGCGCTGCGGGAGTCCCCGGGGACAGCGAGGCCGGCCTCCTTGAGGCTGCGCGAGCGACCCCCAGGCGCAGCAGCATCATCAAGGTAAGCGGAGCCACAGCAGCCCAGAGCGTGGGTGTGGATGTTGGGAAGGTAGGGGACCTCAGGCAGGATGTTCATTCCTCCAGGCTTAGCAGGCTGGGCATTGTTTTCTCCCACCTCCATTGCCAAACCTTCCTGCCTAGTCCGGAGGTTCCCAGACTCAGCTCTTGGCCTTGAGAAGCAGAAGTGACTTCCCCTCTGACAGCTGAGGAAAAGTTCCCCTCTGTGCTCTGCGCTTCTGCGGTTTTATGGATGCTTTCCCTCATTTTCTCAGCGAGCTTCACAAACCCGTGGATGGGAGAAGGAAGAGAAGATTTAGGATAAATGCAGACCTGCGGGCTGACTGTGCATTCGCTAGCCCAGAGGTGCTCTTTCCTGAGCAGTAAAGGCAAAGAACAGCTTACTTTCAAGTGGTGTGTGTGTGTGTGTGTGTGTGTGTGTGTGTGTGTGTGTGTGTGTGTGTGTGTGTGAAATCTCCATCAGACACAAATGGTGCCGAAATCCTTAAAGGCTTGAACTTTGCAGATAGGCAGGCAGAGTTTGCAGTGGGAGCTGCAGCACAGAAAGGTTGAAGGAAGAGCTCAGAGTTTTCGCGCTGCAGAAAACACACATCCGGGAATACGTTCCCAGACTCCCTTAGCACCCCCAGAGGATTTGCCTTTATCCATCTGCCAAGGAACAGTAAACCTTTCTTCGCCCCTATTTATTTATTTCCATCTTCCACTTTGAACTTGTTTCCCTTGAACTTGTTTGAAAGTTCATCTTTTGGGTGCATGACTTTGAAGTAATGTTTTTCAGGTAAGACCCCCGGCACTGGCTCTGGAATAGGGCCTCTTAGTGGAGATGTATGTGATTACTGTATACATGTGATATTAAAGTTGATCTTGGTAGAGCACACATCCGTATGTGGATACACACAACACACCGCAGGCAACAGTGAAAGAAGGACTCGGAAGGAAGGACAGTGAAAGGACACGGACTTGCTGGGTAGACTCATACATTCAGAAAGCTTGCTCAGGTTCAAACCGAGCAGCCGCCGTGCAATACGTGGCTTCTTCTCCAAGCTATCAGAGGCAGCGTTTGTGCTCACGTCCACCTGGCTCCAAGCACTATCTGCACCTTCTCTCCCCCCCCCCCCCGCCCCAAACATGGACCCATGGACGTTCAAAAGCTACAGGGAGATTTCTATGTTGAAAATGAATGGTAATTTCAAGTAACCTGTAGTAGTTTATTTTGTGGCTTTTTCATAATGTGCAGAGAGAATTATACCACTCATGTGAATTTGGACAAAAGGGGAACAGCTCTTTTTTAAATAATACAAGTCAGAAGTCATATTGTCTTGAAACAATAGTATCATAACCAGGAAACAGGTACATTTGGATTACAAGAAATTCATCCTACATGGGGACCTGTGCATATGAAAATAAGCACAGTAGTTTAAAATATATGACGATAAAAGCAGTGGTTTTTTATAATGTTGTGAAAAATACAAGTCATGAAGTATAAGGGCTATTCTATGCAAATTCTTGCAGCAAGTTTACCACTCTGAAATTGCCTTGTGTTGCCTGCTGTGCTCCTACAGGTTTGAAATCCTAGGGATGTAGTCATGCAAGCTTGGGACTTGGCACTCAGGAGGTTGACGCAGGAGTACCTTCCTTTCAAATGTCGCTTCCTGTACATAGCCATACCTGGTCTCAAAATAAACAAACCCCGCCCCCAGACTATATGAATGAAATGCTGTTTACATTCTCATAAGGGTAATCACTGAGTAATATAGTGCCTCTTTTGCTTTGAAGTTTGTGATACAAAGGAAGATAGCAGAATATTATATTTTCTCCATTTAATGGTAAATTAAATAATAAATGGTCTTTAAAATTAAAGATACTGCGAAATTAGATGAACTATTTTAAATTATAATTATTTGAGAAATAGCACATGATTTAAAACAATTGAAACTTGCAAAGGAGTGTGAAGTAGGACTTTTTGCTATTTCTGCTCTCCCACTTACATAGCCCACCCTATAGCTATTAATATTTTCCTATGCATCCTTCCAAAATAGTAGGCTCTTGTAGGCATATGCATCTATGATTGTGTATCTGTGACTAACTGTTGAGGCCCTTAATATGTACAATGAAAGCTGGATAAAATTTTATTGGCTTCATATCTTCATATTTGTATCTAACATTTTTGATGCCTAGAAGATTGTGAAGGTCGCTATGATGAGCAGATTAAGCAGATTAAAGATGGTCTGGTAACTGGTAGGTGACACTTGTTGGGATTTGTCCTTAGTGGTCTTCTATTTCTTCTCAGGGGCAAGAAGAGGCAGGTGGGCTAGAATCCAATCTTTCTGAGATCAAGAATATTTTTATTTAGATCTCGAATCTTTTGTCATATGGCTTGACCACTTTAATGTAGCAAAGATGAGGATTTCTAGAAAGGCATACAGCGTGTGTGTTAATCAGTTTTTGTCCTTATGATAATTAGAAATGCCAAAGGAAGAAAGATTCACTTTGACTCATGGTTTCAGTGATTTCAGTCCATGATCTCTGTCGGTGTTTCTAGGCTTGTCTTGAGGCAGCACACCATAGCATGAGGGTATAGTGCTCCATAGCTGTTCACTTTATGGTGGTCAGGAGGCAGAGGGAAGGAGGGCTAAAATTTTAAGGGCATGTTCCCAGTGATTTACTTCCTGCAACAGGGCCTCAGCTCCTACTTCTTACTTCACACCAATAATTCCATCGAATTATGACCTCTTTTCAGGTTGACTTAGATTATTGGTTTTAATTATTCTGATGCTAATTCTCTATTAGCATGAATATTAGATCAGAATAATGCATCTCTATCCTTCCAGAAAACAGTCTTCCTTGTATATTAATTACAGGAATATTTTCAGTTAATTTGTCCTTCCTAATTTGAAAACATGTGTATAGCCGAGAAAACAACTTCCTTCTGAGCTGATGGAAACAATTACACTCTTTGTCTGTGCCCATCCTCACCCAGTCTTTCTACTGCCATTGTGGTTTTTCCTTTATACTCTCAGGCTTAGTTTTTTTTTTTTTTTTAATACTGTAAGAATTTAGCTAGATTCTCTGTAATCCATTTGCCTTTTCTCTGTATGATTATTTTCTAAAGAACTGCCACTGATAAATGCTTCATTTTTTTTTGCCAAGTGTATATAATATACCATAATATTCATTGAGTCCATCTTAATTTCTTCTTGATATGTGACTTAAGATGAAAAGTTAGGAAAATGCTAACAGTTAAGAAATATCTAATTAATGTACGTTTCGTATTTGAATATTCTCGCAGCAAGTCCTCTGGCATAAGGGAGGTATGGAGAGACCTAAATCAGGGTAGAGTTAGGGTTCAAAGCCATGTCTGTTATCACCCTTGTTATCACCCTCAGATGCAGGAAGCTCACAATTCAACACTTCCTAGGTTGGAAACAAGTTGAACACATGAAGAACCTGAATCTTGGGCTTGTGGGTTGAACTGTCCCTTCTCTACCTCCATCTCCAGTTTAGGATATCTGGAGCTGCATGGCTCAGGAAGGGGGTTACAGCCAGCCCTTCCTGCCTTTGGTCATTTTGTTAGGCCCATGCTGAGTGTGAACAGGCAGTTTGGCTGGTGTTGTGCTGGCTAATGGAGTTCACTTATCAGTGTGTGGCACTTACACCTCTTCATGGCATCAGTTTTGAAGCTCATACCTGTTTTACCCTAGACCCATTTCTTCCCTGTGTCCCCAGATGATGGAGATTTGAGAGGAACTGTATTTTCTTTAGATTGATACATATAGGCATTGATACACCTGGCATGCTGAATATATATTATCATAGGGGAATGAGATGAAGAGGCTATCAATTGGATCTCTGAACATTATTATTATTTATTATTACTATTTGATTTTTCAAGACAGGGTTTCTCTGTGTAGCTTTGGAGCCTGTCTTGGAACTCGCTCTGTAGACCCGGCTGGCTTCAGACTCACAGAGATCTGCCTGCCTCTGCCTCCTGAGTGCTGGGTTTGAAGGCGTGCGCTACCACTGCCCAGCCTGAACATATTTTTATAATGTTATAATGTGAAATTAAATATGATTAAAATGACTTATAATCTTTAGGCATGACAGAGCTATATATGCTTTTGCAGACTACCCTGGGAATCAGTCAACACATAGACTTTTTTGTTGTTTTTGTTCCTGTACTTATGTCCTCGTTAGTCTTATGTCATCTTGATACAAGCTATAGTTATCTGAGAGGAAGGAACCTCAATTGAGAAAATGCCTCCAGAGGATCCAGCTGTAAGGCATTTTCCTCATTAGTGATTTGTGGGGGAGGGCTCATACCATTGTGGGTATTTCCATCCTTGGGCTGGTGGTCCTGGGTTCTATAAGAAAACAGGCTGAGCAAGTCACAAGGAGCAAGCTAGTAAACAGCACCCATCCATAGCCTCTGCATCAGCTCCTGTTTCCAGGTTTCTGCCCTGCTGACTTTCTTCAATGATGAACATCGCCGTGAAAGTGTAAGCTGAACAAACCTTTTCCTCCCTAAGTTGCTTTGGTCATGGTGTTCTACAGTACCAATAGTAACCTTAACTAAGACAACTGATGTGCATCGAAATCTTTAAATAACAAACCGATGGTGGGATTTTAAAGAAAAAAAAAAACCTGACAATGCATTGGAGCTGACCAGCCTTTGCTATGAGGATAGCTGTTAGCATGCCATGACATTCAGGGCTTCACAGGGGGTTCACTCACTGAAGTGTGAGCTGGCTGTACATGTAGCATTGAACCTCTTAGGTGGCGTTGTCTTACTATCCCAACAACTTCAATCACAATGCTTATGTTCTCTGAAATTGCCCTAGAAGTATGATCACATTTCACCTTCAAAGTGGTTTCTTCTTTCAGTTCTTTTTTGGTTGTGACTTTTAATAATACCTTTTGAGAGAATGAAGAATAAAATCCCTGGGTAAAATACCTTGTTATATTTTGATGATAGGTTTTAGATGT